AGTTTTATAGATCGAAGTGTGGCCATAAGTTGATAAGAGACAGTTATTTCTGTTAACCTATAGCAAGGAAGAATATTCTCGTCCTCAAATCTAAAGTATCAGAGTTTCTCTTTTCTGGGTTAAATCTTCACTAAAAAATTTTTTAAAAAAATTCCACGAAAAACAGTAAGTGGTCTTTATTTTTCTGTATTTGTAAGATGTTATTTTATTGGTTGACAGCTTACACTGGGTCAATGATTTACCAGGGTGTTTCAAGGCTGTAAGTATTTAAGTGTTTATGTACTGGTATATCTATGCATAAAGTTCATTTTTATTTGATTATTAAGGACAGATGATACAAACAAATTTTATCATTGGAGGAGACTTAATATCATGTTACAAGATTAGAAAATTGAATAATTCTTAGAATTCTTTCTCCTAAGTATTGGAAAATGAAATAGACTTGGAAAAAATTAGTAATATTTCAATAAAATTATGAAAATGGATAAAACACACTCAGTAAAGGTTTACAGGTGAAAACAAATTTCAGAATACTGAGTGTGATTTGTCAATATTTGTTTTTTTCATTGAAATATTAGTAAAATTTTACAAGTCTACTTCATTTTCCAGTTCTTAGGAGAAAGAATTCTAAGAATAATCAATTATCCAATTTTCTAAACTTGTGACATGATACTTAGTCTCCTCCAAAGAAAAAAAATTGTTTGTATAATCTGTCCTTAAATGAACATGTATCTTTAAATAATTTTTTGAAATTCAGATTCCTTAGAAAATGTACAAAAATTAATTATTGCAATATAAAACTTTTAAAGACCAATGGAAGTTGATACTCTGCAAACTGAGATTAATATAGTGAGCAATACTCCGGTAATCATGGTAATGAAATTGGCTTTTTGTGCTTAACCATGTCCAGAAAATTTCAGAATGTCAACCAATACTCACTGTCTTTCTGAACAGGCTCAGAAGGCTTTAAAACCCGACTGTCCATTTATCGGGAGTATGTTTGGTGGTGACACACTGTTTGAACTCAGGGTTTCTCTGCAGTTAGCAGAACAGGAAATACAGGGGGTAGGTACCAGACTAAACTGGTTCCCAACAATAAGGCAGTGTACAGAACTCAATACTTTCATAAATTCAATAAAAAAAATTGATGGAGCATGAATGAAACAATTTTAATTCATACAAAGTCCATAGCATTATCCAAGCTCATTCAAAAATGAATGCAATTAAAGAAGACAAATCACTCCTGTACTTGTTTGATTTACAGGGGATTAGTCCACACATTTCACCTTTCACTGATGTCCGTGATCTAGGTAACCTTTTGAACCGAGCAGGATTCACCATGTTAACTATTGTAAGTGTGCCAAATAAATCAAAGTACTGATAGTACTGAAGGGTAAAGTGAGAAGTTATACAAATACTAAAAGATAGATCTAAAGCAGTATTCAGTTTGTTCACAAAAGGAGCATTGTATAAAACATAGCATATTCTCATGAATTAGGTTTTCTTGCTTTCATGTATCATACTTATAAAGAAGTGGTCAAACAAATGTTATTATGAGTAACAAGTTTTCCCTTTCATTTTCACAGGATATTGATGAAATAAAAACAACTTATGAGAACATGTTGTCCTTAATGCTGGATTTGAAAGGTATCAGAATCATGATCCAATAAATACTTCTGCTAAATTTATCTTAGTTATCAGTGGAATGCCTTTGGTATCATTAAAGTAATGATTTTATTTTAATATCAGGCATGGCAGAAAATAATTGTGTCTGGGAAAGGAGGCCCATGCTTTATCGTAAAACAATAGAATTAGCTGAGAAAAAATACAGAGGTAAAATTCTCGTTGTAAAAGCTCATCTTTTAGAATAGAAACATTGAGTAAGAATCTTGATTATGATAATTCTCTGTAATGATTTGAAATTTTATATAGAAGCTGTGGCACGCATAGTCTCAGAATTTCTCCAAACTCTCTATGATAAAAGTCATTGATACCCTAAACTGAAATCAGGCAAAAATTGGTTGCTATGTTTTATAGTTACCATGGCAACATGTCTTAAAGTTCGAAAAATGGGATTTTTTAACATGTTTAAAGCCCCATAGTTAACATTTGCGGCAAAGCAAACAATTGTCAATGACTGTTTCCAAAAGTTAAGGTCAGATGTCTCAAATGCATGATAAACATATTTGGTAAATCAACTATTACATACGTTACTATGGTTACAAAGTATTCAAAAGTAAAAAAAATATTCATTGAATTTTATTAAGTCATACACGTAAAAATAAAAAGCAATTATAGGATGAAATGTGACCAAATAATAGAAAAAAGAGCCTTGAAACATATACCAAGAACAAAATATGATATTTCATTTTGGTTGGCAATGGTTGCCAAGGTTTTTATACCACAGAGAGCCTTTAAAGTAGCACTGTGTATGTTTAAATCTGATCCTATCTTCTAAAAAAGGCACATTTCCTCATAACTAATGATCAATTTTATAAGATGTTTGTGTGCTCCAAATTTTCCCATTTGAAAAAAATCAGATTAGATTCTTTAAATAGAGCGTTGCTATGGAAATAAGCAGAAAATATATGCTTAAAAACCTGAAAAATATTTTCTTTCCTTGGATACGTACCCTTAAATGTAGATTCCCAAAACTTTTATGATTGATATTTATTAACAGCTAACTTGACTTTTAATTTTGACTATCATCCAATCTCTAAGTGGATGCAAGAAGTTGGCACACAGGGTTTAATATTGATATAAAGTTCACAAAATCGAACATTTTCCCTTCTTGGTAACCATAGCAACAGTGTTGTTTTATTCATCAAATTTTCTCAATATATGATATTCAACTTCAGTTCTAACAGATAAGTACTATTCAAGCTGAGTCCTTTAATTTGTTTCTTGATTAAATGGCAATTTAATTCTTAATGCAGCGAAAAATAATTCACTTTTAAGCACTGGTACTTTGTTTCCATGGTAACACTACAAAGTAGCAATTATACCCAATTTTTCTTATGGTTTTGGTGTTGCAAGGTCCTAAGGATGCATATTTGCCAGTCTTGAATTTTCATGTTTTTCCTCAAGACAGTAGCATTAACCCAATCTTAGTTACTGGTTTTGCATGGTTACACTGTGTTACCATGGCAACCATAAAAGTTATTTTTAGAATAATATTGCTTATACTTATATACTTAAGGTCAAACATTTTCATTGTTTTTCTTAAGTCGTTGATTGAGTTTGAGCATGTAACACCTACCATTAGTGAATACAGAGTGTTTTTCAGCATATTTCAGCATTTTAAATGTATTCCAAATGTACCCTTGGTTACCACTTACTTAGAGATATATTCTAAACAGTTTCTTTACAGTATAAGTGACATCAAGGTGTCATGTTTTTGTGAGAATGGTTTGTTTGCTTTTTCTACTTTTTATTAAGCCACAGTCAAGATTTAAAGTGGCTGAAAATCTCGATTTTTCAAACTTTTCCGGCTGTTGCCATAGCAACCGAGACACATAGCAACGAAATTTTGTTTGATATTTATTTCTGGTGTCAAGTACTAAGCATGGGTGAAGTTTCATCAAAATCGGTGACCATGCGTGGCAACGAAGTTTAAGTGGTTACAGAGAATGGCTATTAAAATGTAAATCATGTTTCATTATAGCGTGTCCTGCTGGATCTTATGGGGACAACTGTTCGACAACCTCCCCTCCCCCCTCTTACGAGGAGAACTGTGGTCACCAGTGTGAGTGTAGTCCCGGGGAGGAATGTAGCCCCTTCATAGGTTGTGTCAGGATAACCACAACAACCAATCTATCATCCCCATACATCGTCAGGAATACAGACACTGAGTTCCCCGACAGTGTGAGTTGACTCCTGAGTTTAAACTCAGCAATGTCATGTATATACAGACAAATTTTAACCGTCACTTGTGATCTTTATTATGTTTTCTTTAAATTCACTGACTTTGATATTTTTTTATCTTTGTCTGTAATACATGCAGCTGAGGTCAGCTTTAGTATTTCCATTTGGCTTACCAGAAATGTGGCAACCGTTTGATGACATCACCCATTGGTTCTTGACAATTGTACTCGTGAGGACTTCTGCTTGTACTTATTTAGTGCGAGAGAAACGGGCCTGTAAGTAACCTATAGCTAATCGTATATTTTGACTACAACAGCTATTCAGTACAACATACTGTATATATTACCTTTTCATCAAAAATTCCATTTTTAAAGTCTTCAACATTTAAAAGCTGAATTGAAATTAATTTCCCCATGCTTATAAAATTTTACCTGTTATAGAAATGGGACAGATATCGTAGACTGGTATTGCCTGTCTTTACCGTACGCAGGAAAATCGTATATCGGATATCAGACAGGCAGGCCAGTCTACAGATATCGTAGCACTGGTTCTCTGCCCTTGATTCCAGTCGCTGCCGCTAGGAATTTAGGGCGCTTGCGCCCGTTAACCAATGTCAGGGTACCAGTCTACAAATATCGTTATATTCGGAGAAATTTCTAAATGGGTGCCTATGTCACCTGAGAGGGTTACTAACATTGTTCATTCCGAAATCAACATGCGGGTTGGGGTCAGAGGTAAACCGGGAGAAACGGTTACCATGGCATTCTTAGTAAATAACTCAACACGCCGGTCTTCATGTAAGATTGACACTTCAGGTACAGCGATGTTGGATGCATTATATGGATGCAGTCCAAGCGGTGCAACATCCCATCAACCGTATGGACCAACTTCCGATTCGACATCACAAAGGTTATCCACAAAACATCATTCCTCAGGTCAACCGACTTCGTATGTACAGACATCAGAACAGATCTAGACGACACCTTACTCCTCAGCTAGTGTTATTTATAAACATTACAACTCATGGCTTTTTATCTCAGTGTTTAGTTTAGCAATCATTTAGAGAGTAGATACAAAGTATCTAAATTGTTAGGAATGTTTGAATTAAAGTTTTTTTTCTTTCTTTTAAAACATCGATGTTGTGACTTCAAATACAGAAAGTATACATAATTTACTAATTTTTCTGATCAATGGCGAGATTCGTTTGAATTAAAGTTTTTTTTCTTTCTTTTAAAACATCGATATCACTTAAATAGATTGATACTGTCAGAGGTTTTGTAATTGACTTCAATAACGTAAAATACGCATGCATTATACAGGTGGGTTTGTCTTGCAACTCTGAATTCTACACATTTCAAAAATATCAAGATAGGATAATAAACAAAAAAATATATACCTATCTTTCTAACAAAATGAAATAATGATTGAAAAAGTGAATTGTGTTATAAAGCAGCATTTAATTGTTTCATTCAATTCTTTTCAATTTGATTTGTTAACATGAGAAAGATTGCTAATGGAAAAATAAATTAATTCTGCAATCCTTCTGCTATGAACTTTCATCATCATTCATTTACATTTGATTGTTTCATTTTAAACATATATAGGATATAAAATACAACAACAAAATACATCTCATGTTTTTAACAAGTAATTTTGCAAAAAGATGCTAAATGTGCCATTTAACCAATATACAATTATCATTTTTAACTTAATTTTGAGTGAAACCAATAATTTATATAACTTATTGAGTGAATATAATTTAGCTTGAATAGAAATTCAATGTGTGCAAAAAGATGCTAAATGTGCCTAGATTTTAACCTTACCATATCATTGTTTCTCGAAGTTTAGAATTAAATAGAATGCATGATTATTTCCTCATTCTAGATTAAATCAATGGTATGCTTAGTTAGTGTTTTCGTAAAAACAGAATATGATTATTTGTAATTGCTTATTCCCCCCCCTTTTTTTTTGCTATTACCGTTTATGAAACGTAATAACTCTAGAACCCTCTGATTTTATTTCTTCGAAGCTTTTCGTTGTGCGCCTCTTCCCTTAATGTAATATAAAATTAAAATTATTGTTATTTCCGTCATGGGCACTTACCGGCAATTGGTAAGGTAATGAAAATTAAGGAAAATGTGCAAAAGTAGTTATTATCAACACAAATCTTCAAAATATACTTGCTGTTAAAACATTTATTTGAACTTGGTATTATTTTTTATATAATCCAAACAATCCTGTGTCACAACATAAAATGAAAACACATTCTTCTCTCTCTAAAATACGACTGATCTGGTGCGTAGACGGCTTTGCGTTGATATTCTTCATTACGAGTTTGCAGCCGGTGATCATGAGCGGAGGTGAATGTGTGAATAATGGAAAACGGTAAACATTTTCTTTTAAATATAGAGCTTTAAAATTTGTTTAAAAAGCATTTAAACCTGAACAGTATGTATGGTATAAACAACCAGAGCGATTTTTTTTTTCATTATCACTGATTTAACATCTATTTTAAAGTAATATATACATGTATATACCGGTATGTATCTTTAATTACATGTCAAAAACAATGCTCAAAGAATATGCACATTTGCACTTTTCATGGACAAAACAACGATTTTGACATAAACTAATTTAAACATCTTCGTTAATATACTAGTAATTATTTAAATTGAAGAGCACCTTTAGATTTTTTTTTATGAAATATTCTCTCGAACATGAAGAAGGTTAAAGAAAACGAACACAGTAATCAATTTAATTTTTAAAAAATTACAAGCAAAACACGAACCCCTGGTAATTCCATTGGCGGAATAAGGTTCCTAGGAAAGATAAGCACCCCCTGTTGAACAGTCACACCCACTGTGAGTCCTATGTATTGATCAAGTAGACAGAGCATTCCGCAGTAAAATTTAGTAAGAAAATGTATTTTGTGAATTGGTATGAAACAAGTCAGTCAAAAACTGTTCGTATTTGGATCATGCTCTTGAGTATCGAAAAATGAACACCATATGCAGATTGGAATATTACTATACATACATAAGGAAACGTGATTATGGATGGGGAAAGGATTAAGTCTATTTCATTTAGTTGCTAGTTGGGTTTCTTTCGTCCATAGTCTGTAAAACAAGGTGAACAATAGACAAAGTGAAAATAGATACATTTATTTATGTCTCTGGTGAGAACAATTTCTAAGAATTGGTATGAAATAGGTCAGTCAAACTAACACCCAGTGATAGGTCATATAATTTTTAAAAAGCTGGCCTTAAACGAGGACGATGAAATCTCTGTAACAACATCTTTTGTGTTAGTAGCCTGTCAAGGTTTTAAAAATTGATCGTATTTGGAGTATGCTCTTGAGTAGCGAATAAGTTTTGATACATTGAATTAAAATGATAATAAATCCAAAAATCAGTTCATAATTTAATATTCTTTTCAACTGTTTTCCGTAACACTGTTCCGTAGTTTTACCATCCATCCTGAATACGTTTCAAAATCCATCTTCATTCACGTTCGCGAGTGTTCAATAAAAATTTCATTGCATTAGAATAGATTAATGTTCAATATTTCATAAGAACTCACTCTCATTTGAGGAAGGAAGTAATAAATATACATGGTCAACTAGGTAAGATAAAAATAGAAGGGAAATCATGTTTGCTCCATGTTCTAGGGAACTAATTTTCCTTGAAATAATTTTGCATATTTCCAAGAAATAATGTAATATAAGTAACGTTAAGAAATCCGGAAATCATCACAAATACACATTTGCCGAAATTCTTTACTAAAGTAACGTATACGTAGACATTCATTTTTACATTTTCTGGCCGTTTTTCTCCATGTCCCATGTAAAAAAAAATTACCATTAAAGAAAAATATAAAGCATTCCACTTAGGCAATATTTATTAATTAAGTCAGGTACAAGGCATTAAAAAATGAATTTCATATATTTAATAACGCCCTATAGAATTTGATCACGTGACCGACTTCATGTCATACCCCAATGAAACTCTTAAAATGATATCTTACTCCTTAAATATAGAAGGTCTACATGACAAACAAGAAATGAAGACCAATATATGATGCAGTTATAGTCCACATGGCCTTTTTAAAAAATCGCACATATCTTCGACGACAAAAAAATCCAAATAATTTTAGTCAAGCAAAACCAACTAAAACTTTTAGAAATGAAAAAAAAATTAAATTTAAGTCGAAGTATAAAGTGAATATATAGAAAATGGAAAAAAATGTTTTTAAAGTTTCAACGATTTCATTTGAAGATTCAATAAACACAAAAGACAAAGATTTTATGGCATGTCAAATGTTACAACATTCGATATTTTCCATTTGTATTGAATGATTTTTATTTGTATTGTATGATTTTTATTTGTATTGTATGATTTTTTTGTATTGTATAATTTTCCGTTTGTATTGTATAATTTTTTTGCATTTTATGATTTTTATTCGTATTGTATAATTTTATTTGTTTTGTATAACTTTTCACTGAATTGTATGATTTTTCATTTGTATTGTATTTCTTTTTTTTTTGATTTCTATATTAACATTTGTTTTGTTTGCAATTTTTTATTTGAATTTTAAAATAAGACTTTTTTTTTTACAATACATAATTAAAAATTATAGAATACAAAAGTGTTTCAACCAAGTTTTAGAATTCTGAGAATCTAAAATTAATTGTTATTGTTATTTGTAAATTCTCTGAATTCTCAAACTTTAATGTAACAAATGAAAATTTTTACAACACAAATGGAAAATTATAGAATAGAAATACAAATTATACACTATAAATTAAAAAGATGACATATGATTATTATGATGTTGCCTTGTTTGTAAATTTGTTTTTGATTTTAATTTTTAGCTTTATAAAGTAATTATATTAATAATTTACATGTATTAATAATCTTCTATTGATTGTAATAGATTCAGGAAATCAATGACTACTATTTCACACTCTTTAAACAATGTGGAAAACGAACAACATATAGAATAGCAAGAGGAAACAAACTAAGGATCACTCTCTTCTCTAACCATGACAGATTTACAGATAAAGGTTTTCAGCTAAGTCTGAAAGGTAAATATCTTTTTGCTGGTAATTAAAGAAAATGTTTAACTTTTTTCTTCAGAAATTTAATGGAAATTATTCAATATTATCTGAAGCAAACCATTTAACATTTAATGTATAACTTCAGGTCAAATTTAAATAAAAATTGAAACGTTTGAACACTCTCACTCATGTATACATCATTCATAAGACCGCAACTTG